TACACATAAGTAAGAGAACTTCATATACACTGACATCTGCAGACATTTTGCAGTCTTTTTGTATATGCATATGCATGCACTTGTGAACATGATTGCTTATGTACAGAAAATTTGTTATCGTTTTCTTTCCTCAATTAAAATAAGGAACTTGGTGAAATAAAAACTCAAACCTCTTCAAGTAAAGAGGAACCACTCCGAGAACATTATTATAGTCATCCCGAGCAATGAGATGCTGAGGAACCCAACCTGTTTCCTGGAAGGAAGTACAACCAATTACTATCTTAATATGAGGGTGGCAACATGATGGGCAAAAAAAAAAAAGATTCGATTATTAGTTTTGGCTATTGAATTAAGCTTTTTGGTGTCAATTTGGTTGGTCTGGGATAAACAGATGGTATGAAAAGAAATCTACTCTGCAAATTGCAGGTGCTGAAAAAGAAATAAAGAAAAATCATAAACAGCCCTCAGGGAAAATCGGTGTTTCCCTCCTTTAACCTTTGTATTATAGGCTCAAAATAGCTATAGCTTCTCATTCAAATGCGCAACAGCGTCTTTGGCAAGTTCAAATTCACATTTCTGACCCCTCACTGTATAATACATAAGTTCACTGCTAAAAAATAAGATCTTCATTTCAGGTATAGATAACATCATTTTTTATAATTTATCTTATGATTAAAAACCAAGCATAAATGATAATATATGTAACTGCAAGCAGACAGCTTATTGAAATACACATAAATGTAAACTGATGTGCATACACATGGTGGCTAATCAATTACAAATGAGATAAGTTTAGATTACTAACCTTCACTGCACAGCCTGACTCCTCCAGGCTCAAAAGAAAACCGTGGGAGAGAAATGGGTTATATTTCTCCTGACCTTCTGCATCAAGACTGCAAGCATCCCACTCATCCGGAGAAATCTTGGAGATAGAAGATACCACGCAAACTGATAGCTTTCTGGCTTTACCTGAATCAGTTGTGCCATCCTGTTACAGATCCAAAGCAGAGATTGGCTGAGCACAAAAACTCCCAAGAACAAATATATAAAAGATTACCAAGTGAGCACCTCAGAACGAAAGTCAGTCAAACTGAAGTCACCAATGGACAGGTCCAGTTTTGTAGGCTCCACCGCCTTCCTTGATTCCCAAAATATGGCTTTCACACTGAACCCAACATTGCTGTTGTGGATGCATCCTTTAAAAGACGTTTTCCTCTGTAAGCAGAGTGTCAGGTATGCAACAGTAATGAACAAAACTAATAATCTCGTCACACTTAAAATGAAAATAAGCACAAGAGTACAGCAGATGCATAGCATTTCCTGCGGAAGAGACAGTATAGTTTTCTTCATAATGGATAGAGCCTCTTGTAGCATGCCCTTAGTTCCTTTACCAGGAAAACAGATGATGATCTTAAACTGGATATTTAAAAAAAAAAAACAACAATAATGATGTTATGATAAGTTCATAAATAACGAGTAGTTAACAAGATTTTGATCTCTCGAAGTACAAATGGCAAATCCTTTTCTTATTATAGTAACTTGTCAGAATCCCAAACTTGGAGTGAAGTCATCATGGAAGAATCATGTACTATTAAGTAGAGCGAAATGATGTGGCCTTCACGAAACAAACACTAAGAACTTATACCAGACATTGCCAGTCAACAAACTTATGTCAAGGAGAAAAGAAAAAATTGTTATGTTATATGACAACGCACACGTAAATTATTCTATTAAGGTATAGGGCAGTCAAAACCCAAGAAACTACAAATAGGTAAAAGGCAGATACATTAAAGGATATCTTATACGATTTTGACTAGAACATGCCAAAAGGACAAAGGTGCATAAAGACCATTTTCAAAGAACCATTGCATTGAAAAGTAAAGATCCACATTATATTCAAGAGATCAAGTATATCTGAAACTGAATCATACAAATAACATGGAATTCTACTATATTTTCCCAATGATGTCCGGACTGAGGAACATACAACCCATACAACTATAATGCCAGAACCCTCTAAACACGTCAGCCAATGATAATAAAACAATACCGTGCGCAACACATGGATTCAAAAATTGCAGCCCGCAACAAAAGATGTCATATGGCAATAGTTATTACTCCTATAGCTGTCACAATATGGTGAAAAATGGAGTATAGGAAGCAAATATTTACCCATTTTCGCCAACTTAAAAATCTAAAGCTACTTCTATAGACCGTGCACTTCCGTAAAGGTTAGCTCAGATACACTACACGACCCATTAAACCCTGCTGCAAGCATTGGGCACATCAAACGACGAGGGCGATTCATGATTTCACGACCGTGTGCAGCAAAAATAATTATTATTTTTTTTTTTTTCAGAAAAATCATTTTCTGAGTATCGATGAGAGAAACTAAGGACTGCCATCACTACATGAGTGCATAAAATTTTAATAAAAATTGTAACTATGAACCTCAAGAACACAGATGAATTCGAATAAATCAACCATACTCCTCATCCTCTTCTAAAGCTGGATGAGAAAAAAGAACTTGACAAATACAATCAAAAATAGGAAAATGAAGAAGAAATTGGAAAGGCGCTTACGATATGAAATGAGCTGCAGCACGTCCCCAGAAATGAAGGGGAAGCAACCATGGCAGCTGCCATGGCCAGTAGACTGAGATTTTTCCTTCGAATATCCTGTTTTAATTTTAGTTTTGTTGTGAATAGAGAACATTACTTTAATTATTTATATTTTATCTATTGTTTGTGGCATTATATGGGTGACGTGGCAGCTATTACATTTGCCTAAATGCCTTCCAATAAACCAGTTTTTGTTATAAAACTAGATAGAGAGAAAGAGAGATAATAGAGAAAATGTTTCTCTTATGTACGATTTTGGGAAAATTTCACTTTTGGTACCCCAAAAATACCTACTTTTCACTTTTGATACCCGTGTTTTCGACTTAATCAATATTAGTACGTAAGTATGAAAAATCAATCAATTTTGGTCACGAACGTCAGTTGACCGTTAGTCAACTAACGGAAACTGGCTATAGCCGATTACCATGTTCGAAAAAACCTATTGAGCCTATTCCATCCAATTCGATCGTGCATTCAGTCCCAATTC